ATTTGTTCCTTAAAAATGAGAAAGTATTGCCACTTTAAACTGGAGCCAAAAGCAAGCTCCATGACTCCATTGAATTGATATGTCTTGTTATTGTGGGAGTCTGGCTCTGCTAGGAGTGTACAAAGGAAATAAGCAATTCCAACAATCCAAACAGAATCCATACTATGATCATCATAAAAATAGTTGTGCATACAGAATCCATACACAACCTATCCTAAAGATGCTGCTCTCCGTGGTCTTGCTTCTCTTCATCTCTTATTCCACTGCTAGTGATACCTATCCAGCCTTGTAAGTAATTTTCTGTAATAATTTTCTGACTAATAATCTTTTTGCTATGTAACTAGCACAGCTTCATTCAGCATAAACCCGATAAAAGAAAACTGTACATATTATATTTCAGTGAGATACAAGAAACCAGGAGATGACAGTTTCACAACTTTCACTCCATGGTACTTAGCCTATGCCATAAATGGTTCAAGTCAGTATCTACTGATAGAATATTGTACATTTTGATCATCTTTACAATTAGATCTAGTTTGCAATGAGAATAGAAAAATTGTCAGCTTGCAACTCCCCAATGACAGTGAAGTTCAGTATCAGCTTCAGATTCAATCTGATGATATCTCTGTTACTGATTGCTGTATCAATGCTAGTAGGAGGGTTAGATTTGACTACAAAAATGAAACAAAGTATTACAATTAAACAATTGAATCTATAATATCATTGCATTTTTATTCTAGGTTCTACGCCTATAAAAACTTTTTTTGTGACACAAATGAACTTTGTCCAAATTCTTCATTTCCTACAAGAATCATCAAGGTAGGACCTGATTTCAATAAACTTAGTCCTGCTGAGTCAAATTGCTCAATGCTGATCAATAATGAGAACATCAGTGTACTATCTATGGGGGAAATTTGGGGCAATGATACAATGTTACCAACCCAATCTAAAGGAAGCAAGTAAAAATGGTTTAGTCTTATGTATGACTGAATGTCTTGGTTATAGTACAATTAGATTTTCCCTTAAAATGGATGGATGTGTTCGACCCCTTCCTATTAATTCTGCTCCTAATCCTGTCCTCCTCTCTATGATTACTGATCAAAATGAAACAATTCATTTAGCTTATTATGCACCAGTTGGTTATGATAATTGGATATCAAATATTACTGGGGATTTATCTCTGAACAATATTTCTATTTATTCTCCTAGATCTCATGATGATGTGACTTTTATTGAGATTGATATTAATGACACTATTGAAGGATTTTTATTAGTATGGACACAGTACCACTATATACCTGAAGGGGAACATTGGACTGTAGCATTGAGAAAGAATAATAAAACCTTTATTAATGAACAACAACTTCATTGCTACAGTAATGGCAAGCCAAATGGTGATAATAGTTGGATATCAATGAAATATGGGAACGGTTCTTCTCCTCGTGTTGTTAGTTTATGTTTTAAAAGAAAAGGTTATAATGATGCTACATGTCCAAACTTCACTATTCCAGTTAATCCAGCTCCATCTTCACCTAATGTTGCTCATGATAGTATCACTTGTATATCTAGTGAAATGACTACTTCACCTAATGGTGTGACTAGGTCATCTAATGCTGTAACAACCACCAGTATAATGAGTTTTACCAGTTTCTCTTTTACCAGCTCCTTATTTGTCACTTCTTCCATTCATTCATTAAGCACTGAAATTAGTGAATCCTTGTCACCATCACCCAGTACTAGAGGCACTTCTTCTTTTCCATTTGCAACTAGTGCTTCTATTCCAATCAGTAGTTCTACTAGTTCTCCTAAGCCATCATGTACACCTGATGGTGTATGGCCTGAGACACAGGCTGGAGAGATTGCTAGAGGAACATGTAAACAAGGAATATTCAATGGTATCTCATATATAATAATTATACTGAATACTTTGTTTGCCTTTATTAGCTACAAGACATTGCAGAGATAATGGTACATGGGGTATCATCAATTGTAGTACTTCTGAATCCTTTGATAAAATACTTGAGAAGGTAAGACAATGACAAATTATGATACATATCATAGTATGAGTATTTGGTATATCATTAAGTGTCAATATTCTCATAGGCTATGAATGATACTGAAGCTGCTCTTAACTCATTAAATGATAATTTGACTGATATTAATGTCAAGGAAGTAGCTGTTTTATTGAATATTATATCAAATTTTTCGCAGAATTTTACAGAAGATCAGGCAGGGGTAAGCAATTTAAGATAGCAGCATTCTTTTTGATTGATACTTTCGATCATAATCATTAATTTATGTTTATTATGATAGACAGCTTTGAGTATTGTTGATGGAATATTTGCAATGGGAATTGATGGTCCACAGGTATGTCCTTATGTACATTTAGTATCTTTATTGAATCAGTAAAGGAGGATAAAAGGAATATTGGCAGCCAATTGATAATGACAATGGATAATATTGCACTGAAATTACAAGAACCTGATGTTAGTATCTCAATTGGATCCATTGGTATGAATACATGACATTCATTCATTTAATTGA